TCATCACAGCTCGCATGACAGTTATTGATACCACTAGTGTCCTGAGCATCATCCTTATCATTTACATTCGTCATCCTCAACATCAGCATCAGCGTCAGCATCGGAACCCCAAGTCAAATCGTCATCATCATCGTCATCAGCATCATCATCACTATCATCAGCATCAGCATCAGCATTCTTATCACAATCATCATCGTCAATATCGTCCGCATCATCAGCATCATCAGCATCATGAGCATCATCATCATCAGCAGCATCAGCAGCATCATCATCTTTATCATCATCATCAGAATCATCATCGTCACCATCATCACTGTCGTCGTCACCGTCGCAGTTGTCACCGTCACCAGCATCATCCCCATCATCCTCATCATCCTCATCGTCCCCATCATCATCCCCATCATCCTCATTTCCATCATCCCCATCAGCTGCACCATCCTCATCGTGCGAACCCTTCTGCTACTGCTGCTGCTGCTGCTGCTGCTGGTCGTAGTTTTGGTGGCGGTGCTACTCGCCGCCCAGGTGCTCGGTGCGGTGCTGTTGCACGCCGCTGTCGTCGTGCGGTTGCTGGTCGCAGTCGTGGCGGTGGCGCTGCTGGACGCCATCGTGTTCCTCGTTATGGTGCCCCAGCCGTCCGCTATCGTGGGGGTGGTGCTGCTGGTCACACTCTGGGTGGTGGTGTTGCCGTTTGTGCTGCGTCGTTGTCCTTGCTGGTCCTCTGCCTCCTCGGTCCCGTCGGCCACCTCAGCCTCCTTGTCAGCTCCTGCTCTGCCTCCTCGTTCTCCTCCGCGGCTCGCTTATTCAGCCTCTTCGTTCTCCTCCTCGTCCTCCTCCGCCACATCCTCGGCCTCGTCGGCCACAGCCTCCTCGCCCTCCTCGGCCTCCTCTGGCGATGCGTCCTCCACCTCCTTCGTGGTCTCCTTCGGTTTCTCCTTCAAGGTCTCCTCGGCCTCGGACTCGCAGTCGCGGTGTTCGTTGTTGTTTTGCTGCGGGCCGCCGTCGCGGTGGCGGCGTTGCTGGTCGCAGTTGTGGTGGTGTTGCTGGTCGTTGTCGTGGTGTTTGCTGTGGGGCTGTTGCCTGCAACCGTCGTGGTGGTGCTGCTGTTGGCCACGGTCGTAATGTTAATCACTGGTCGAAGTCGTGGTGCCCGTTGTGTTGCCAACGGCCGTCGTCGTGGTGGCGGTGCTGGTGGTCGCTGCCGGAGTGGTCGTCCTGCTGGCTGCGGCTGTGGTGACCGCTGTTGTATTGCCGCTGGCCGCCGTCTTGCCGGTGGTGCTGCTGGTCGCGGTCGTGATGTTGGTTGTGGTGTTTCTGCTTGCCGTCTCATCAGTCTTTCGTTGTGTTGTTTCTGCTGGCCGCAGCAGTCTGCCCTGCCCATCAATCTCGCGCAACGGCCTAACGCTCTCTCCCAAGGCTCGCCCGTGGACGACGGGCCCTGCGCCAAGGTGCGGCGGAGCGCAAGCGGCGCCATAGGGCTCAAGCAACAGAAACCAGGGAGCAAGAGTATGCAGCAGGGCGTGTAAAGGCAGAGCAGGCAGCGCATGCAGAGATTACAGGCAGACGCCCCGCTCAGTTCGCACGGACCCGGGGCGCCAGGCAGGAAGGCAACCAACAGAACAGCACAGCATGGTAGCGGCAGGAAGCGCCCGGGAGCTCAGGAAGAACTCGCGCCAACAGGACAGGAGGCCGCCCCACGACCCAGTAGCAGGGTCCGCCCACCACCTGGTCCAAGTCAAAGACGAGACACGGCGGGGGCACGGCACAAGCATCGCACGAGACAGCACGGCAGGAAACGCATGCAACCAGCGCACACGCACACGTCACAGTAGCTGTTGTTAAACTTCATGTTTACTCTTGTCGCTCAAGATACAGGTACTGGACATGCGAGCACACACTTCAGGCTGGAGAGAGAAGCCGAACCCCTAGACTCGAACGTCCATCCTGAGAGGTCGACGGGAAACGCTGCACACTCGGCCTCTCCCGAAAACCCCAGAAGGGTCCCCTTGTGGGGTACTTGAGGCGGGCAGAGCGGGGGGAAGAGGAAGGAAGAGCGAAAACTGCCTTCAGAAAAGCCCAGAAAAATTGCCTCAAGACCGAAGCCTCCCGGGCCTGTGAACTAACTCTCTGTACTTCTTGTCACCCAGCTTCCAAAGGAAACTGGGGATTCTTGAACCAGCCCTAGCTTGCTCGTGCGTCTACCTGTACCTCTGAACACTGGCATCTAACCTCCAACGGCCACGCTCCTACACTTCTTTCGAAGGATAGCCCGGTATGACAAAAAATGTACGGCCTGCCTACGATCTTGCTCACATTCACCTCCGCACAGGCTCGATACCACAGAAGGCGAAAGGTGATATGACTGATGGAGGCAACTCGCTCGTCGCTTTTTTTCTGCGCAACGCGCGCTTGCATCATCGCCTGGTGACCAAGATATTCCAGCAGCACGCCTTGCTCCTGACTGGGCTTGCCCCGCTCGCCCCGCACGTGGACGCCAAGGCCGATGGCCATGACCCCGCCGGCCGCCACCACGTCGGCGACTCGCATCATCTCCCAGCCCTGCTCCCCAAGGTAGCAGTCAAAGGCCAGCCCCGCTGCATCAGCGGCCACAGAACCAGCCTCGCCGCAGTAGACCATCATGCCGATGATCGCCATCAGGATGCGGACCGCGATCAGTGATCCCTGCACGCCTGGAAGGGGAGCCACCCAGGCCTTCATGAGGGGAGGGTTTCGGGCAGCCGCAGCCCAGGGCACATCGCCACCATGCCCGACGCGAGACTCTCGCCCTCGCCGGTGCCGATCTCGCCCTCGTCGCACAGCACGTCCACGTCGAGCGCCATCGCCCAGCAGCCTTGGCAGACACTTGCCACTCAGGAGGTCACCTTTATGCTGCTCGAAGAAGTGGGGGCCCGACACGTTCCACGCCTGCTGCCCTCTCCTCTGCAGCTTCGGGAGCGTCGGCGAGGGCATGGACCATCTCGCACTCGCACTGGACCTCACCGCCTCCACCTGCGACACCAGGGGCCCGGCCAGGCAGTGGAAGATCATCACTGCGCTCGGTCGCCGCCCGAAGCTTCGATTTCCGGCGCCGCGACCCTCACGCCGTCAACGAAGACTCCCTGAGATGCTGGCGGAAGGCGCCCTTCAGCTATCTCCTTGGGGGCCTGCCCTTCGCGCATCCTCTACTCGGCCCATCGGCGCGGTTCCGCCCACTCGAGGCCCATTGAGAGTAGACCGTGGCGCGGTAGCCCAGCATGTAGGCCGCCAGGCATCGCGGGATCGCGTTCAGAGACATGGACTTGCTCCTGCCCTTGGAGACGACCCCGATCGCAACCGCGGAGCCCGCGATCACGAGGAGCTTCTGTCCCCAGGCAGACCCCCTCCGCAGGACAGCCTGCGCGCACAGCGTGGAAGCCCGCAGCTCGAATGCGTCATGGTGCTCTGTCCGCGTTCACTTGACCTTGAGAAGCTCGCTCCGCCTGCCCAGCGGGCCCCTGGCAGGGCCACCCCTGGCACCCTGATCTTGGCCGCGGTGCCCTCGCCAGCCGTCGCGAAGGCGGCCAGGCATAGACCCACCTCGTCGCCCAGCGCCTTGTTTATCGACTCTGCTACCAGCCAGCGGCCCTGCGTCTGCGCCATCCGCGCGAGGTGGTCCTCCTGGTGCCCGAACGCCAAGGCCCCGCGAACAGGGGACTGGCTTGCTCGACGAAATAGCCCCCTGGCGCAGCCAGGCGCGCCTCCCTCCGAAGCTCCTCGACCGTCGCAGGGGACACGAGGACCCCCGCCCCAAAGGAGCTGGCGCCCGTCATGCCAGCCTGCTCCAGCCAAGGCCCCCCCCTGGTGCGTGGACAGCAGAGGCCTGATAGCGACCATCGTCCTCAGCTCGCACTTCAGGCTCGGCCACGTCGCCAGCTCATGGTCGCCCACGTGCTCCTGCATGGCCTTGCCGACTGCATCGAAGAAGGAGCGCGCCGGCCTGTGGACCAGGGACAACCCACTCCAGGCCGAGACCAGCGCCAGGAGGCCCTGGACTCGGAGGCCCTTCCGGCGGCAGGCCGACGTCGTCGCCTCCACCAGCACGCCCCACTTCCCTAGGTCGGGCTCCACAAACACGTCCCCGCCCTCGGTACCAGCACGAAGCCAGCATGGCGTCGCGGCCTGCTTACCGTTCCTTTCTTGTGAACTGGCAGCCCGTACCGCACCAGCTGTGCCAAGAGGTCGCCCCTGGCCTTGGCGAGGCCGACTGAACGGAAAGCAGGGCCGCTGCGGAGCGCGGTCGCCTCCAGCGCCACGAGCGCCAGGATCCTGTAGTCGTCGATGTACTCCCAACAGACAGGCTCGTCGAGTCGCCCCCAGGGAACAAGTCTTCCGGGGATAACTGCGCCGGGTAAACCGCCCAACGGGCGCCCATCACCAAGGCCTGCGCGGTCATATAATACCTCGTCTCGTCGAAGGTCACCTAGACGCCCTGGTGCCTCAGCTCATCCGCCGCGTCCGCGGGGAAGACGCCTAGCACCACGAAGTGCTCTCCGACCTCCGCGGGAGGCAGCTGGTAGTAGTAGCAGGTAGTAGTAGAAGGCAGTAGGTAGTAGTGGCAGTAGTAGTAGTAGTAGTAGTAGTAGTAGTAGTAGTAGTAGTAGTAGTAGTAGTAGTAGTAGTAGTAGTAGTAGTAGTAGTAGTAGTAGTAGAAGTTAGTAGTAGTAGTAGTAGTCGTAGTACTAGTAGTAGTAGTAGTAGTAGTAGTAGTAGTAGTAGTTAGTTTAGTAGTTTTAACTAGTTTAGTACGAGTAGTAAGTAGTAAAGTAGAAGTGTAGTAAGTAGGGTGGTAGGTTTTTTGTTTAGAGTAGTAGTAAAATTAGTAGTAGTAGTAGTAAGCCGAAATAGTAGTAGTAGTAGTATTTAGTAGTAAGTAGTAGTTTGTTGTAGTAGTTAGTAGGAGTGTAAGGAGTAGGTGGTAAGTAGTAGTAGTTGAGTTAAGAGTAGGAGTATTAGTAGTAGTAGTA